AGGTATTTTGTACACATCACCAGCCCACACAGACCAATTCACAAAAGTAGTTTCAGGTAAAACAATATAGGGTAAATCCCACTTCCTGGAATCTTAACTTGTGATAGTAAGATATCAACAAATTCATAAATTTAAGACTAGCAACATTACTATGTGTTACAGAGTACAGAGTACAGACTACAAACATATTATTTAGGCAAGCCCTGAAAATTACTCATCAAACATTACAAGAAGGAAATCCCTTATGAAATGTGGCTAAAAACCCAGTCTTGGCATTTACCAGTAAGACTAAGCACGAAGATTGTCCAGCAATCAAACCTCATTACTTTCAAAATTTGCGAATAGTAGCAATTTGTGACAATACAGAAGAAATCAATATTAAGCCATAGAATACGTTTAAAAAAAATAAAAAATCAATTTTACAATGTAATGAAGGAGAATTAAAATGCCAGTCTTGGATTTGTGATGGAAATTTTTTCAAACATAACAACTCAAACTTGGTGAACTAAGGATTCTCCACACAAGATGATAAAATGACCCTTCAACTCTAAAATACTCAATAATATGGCAATGTTTCACACAGGTATTTTATCAAACACAAGGGCTTCTACACCGTCTCCCTCTCCCAAACCTCTTCTGGCTCCCCAACTTCTTCATTCCCCTTAGGAACCCCTATCCCATCTCGTTACACTTCCCCTTCCACCCCTTGCCACAGCCCCTTCAACCCTCTACTACCATAGATCCATTGCCTCCTTCCCTCTTATCCACAACTACAAAACTACTCTTTTTCTCCACTACAAATTTGAAATGCCTGCCCTTTCCCTCCCTACTATACCACCGCTAGCCCTCCTCATCTCACACCGCACCTCCATTACACGATTCCATCCCCATCACAGCGCCACCACGTTACTGAAAACCCTTACCACACCATTAAACAACTACAAGCGAGAGAGAGAGAGAGAGAGTACCTTTGTGTGTTTTGCAAGAGAGGGATGAGAGGAAAACTGGAGCACCAAAAAAAAGGAAAAAAAGGGTGGAGGAGAATTAGTAGGGTTCCTTTTTTTCATTACCACCGAATCTCAAAGTTCCCCTTTAAGATTGGTTGGTGATAAAATAATTTTGTCATTAAAAATATTAAAATATTAAAATTATTGACGATAAAAATATATTTCTCATTAAATAATTTTAAAATATTTAAAATTAATTTTTTTA